CAAGAGAACGTAAACATTCGATGATGATGATGATGATGATGATTAGAGTGCCGCTTCAACTCATCACAAAACCAATGATTCAAGCTAGGTGGTGTCGGATAATTTCGTTTTTTTTTACATTTCATTTCAACAACAGGAGAATATTTTTTGAACAAACAAACAAACAAACAAAACCATTTGCCGGACTTTCTTTTCATGAAATTCATTCATTCAATTTTTTTTGATGTTGTTGTTGTTGTTTATGGAAATTCTTCATCCATCGACAAAGAAGAAGCCAAAACACAATCTTTTTTTTTTGTGTGTGTGTTTGTGCAATACCGGTCGATCTTATTATTATTACAGTTTCTTGCAACTAACCAACAACAACAACAACAACAACAACGAAAAAACATTGGTACGACGCCCGAAATTTTCTATTTTTTTCTGCCCAAAAAAAATGATGCCTCACAATGAATGAATGAAAGAATGATGATGATGATGACCACCACATGCGGTCGGTCATATCATCACCGTCCGTCCATCATCAGGGTCAGATTAATTTTGCTTTTTTATTATTATTATCATCATCATCATCATCATCATCAAACGTTAAATTTAATCGAATATTTGAATCCATTTTATGTCCATTTTTTTCTCATTCCTGTTTGTTTATCTGCCTGTTTTTACGAAAAAAAACGTATCAAATAGCAAACAGCATCAAACCTTCTTATTGAGCAAAGCAAAAAAAAAAAACAAACATTCACATACACACAATGAGAGAGAGAGAATAAATGTGACAGGAAGGCTTTAAGGTTTTAGTTTTGAAAAATTATTATTATGAAAAAGGCGTCATTATTCATCTAATATTTTATTATGATGATGATGATATTCAAGTCATTCACATATGATGATTATGTGTTTGTGTGTGTGTGTGTATTGAATTCACATTCATTGTCTTCAATCATTTCATCGAATGGACATTATGATGATGATGATGATGATAGCCACACATTAAAAAAAGGAAAAATTTTTTTGGACAGCCAAAGAATGATCATCATCAACATACACCCACGCGTCTTAATACTCGGGATGGACACACATGCACATGCACAATGTGTGTTGGTTTTTTTTGCTTTGCTCAATTCAAAAAATTTTTGAATTACAATCCAATGAATTAATGGATTATATGATATTCATTCATTCAAATGGTGTTTGTTTATTATTAATTCGATAAATTCTAGGTTTATCAAAACATCATTCGCAAAACAAAAAAAAAAAAACTTTGAAAATCACCTTCAATCACTCAGTCAATTTCTTCAAAAAAAAAAAAAAAAAAAAAAAAAATTCGAGAAGCTTTTCCTAAACGATAAAGTTTCGAAACTCATATATGAGCCAAACAACAACAGAAATGATGGCTTAAAATAAGTAACAATAAGCCAGAATAAATATGGCTGGTGGTAATCCATGAATTTTGATATTATTTTTCCACACACATATATAGAATTCTCTTGAATGAAACTGAATACTTGAATTTTATTTTTTTTTCGTTTGCAAATGTTAGCATCGATTGTACTTTTATTATTATTATTATTATGATCATCATCATCATTATAATAATTAAATGTGATTTTAATTGTTTGGCATCAAGAAACAAAAACAAAAAAAAATAAATTATGCACAAGTTACATCATAGAAAATAAAAGTGAAAAGAAAAACAATCATTTGAGAAAGCAACAACAACAACAAAAATTGAATGCAATGAGAGCGAAAAAATGAATGACAAAAAATTGTCAATATCAAATGTCCAAATTAGATTAGAGATTTTTATATAATTTTCAACAAAAAAGATTGAAAAAATGATGATGAAAAGTTTTTTTCCATGAAAAGTTTATTCTTGTAGTGGTAGTTCAAAAAAATTTTTTTTTCTCTCTATTCATATATGATGAAAAGTAATAACGCCAACGCATTCTTATTTAATGATGACGATGATGACGATGACGATGGTGCCCGAAAGAGAAATGATATGCAAAGAGACCCACTGTTTTTATATCGGTCGATTCCATACTTGTTCTATTTCTTCGATATATGGAGATTAATTGCAATAAATTGTAATTAATAATAATTTATTATGCAAATTTGTAACGTGTATGTGCCAACGTGGAAATCTTACACACACACACAGGCATAAACCCCATACAGAAGCGACAATATTCTCGAATGAATGAAATAAAAGGAAACATATTGCAATATCGTTGTTGTTAAGCAATATAAATGTTTTTGATGGTTTGGTATGTATTACATAAAACACATGACGAAACTAGAGAAAAAAAAAAAAGAATTTGATCAAACCTAATCAAGATCTGTAGACATGGTCCATGCAAATGCAAAAAACAAAACGGATGCCTGCCTTCATGGTGATGATGCATACATGAATTTCGATCCAATGTGGTTTCATTAATAATAAAATAATTATTAAGAAATTACTAACGGAATTCTAAATGAGTTTGAATTAATTGATTTGAAATTCAAGAAATTATGGATCACGTAATAGTAATACTTGTATTTGGCACATATGTTTCAAAATCTGGCCATTTTGATTGGATTTTTTGAAAATTCATTTCTAGTAAGCGTGTGTGTGTGTGCCAATTTCAGATCTGAAATTGAAATTAATTTCTTTTATATGTGAAAAAATCAAAAGTATCCGAATCCGGAAAATAATCAAAATGTCGATCCAACAAACAAATTCTCAATTTCATGTCAAGAAAAAAAATCGGTAATAATCGTGCCAACAAGAGTCATGATGTGTTAGCTATCTCAAATATACTTTAACGACAATAACAACAACAACAAAAACCAGCGATATCACCAATGCGGGAAAATTATTAATCAAAAAATAAATAAATTCAGTTCCGCATTCACACCATATTCGATTCTCAAATCAACATTCGGATTTGACGATAAAAGAAATCAAAAAGCAAAAAAAAAAAATTTGTCGCACTTGATTTCACTTGAAAAATTTTGTGTGCGACAATTTTTTTTTCAAACGACGACAACAACAACTTTGGCGAAAAAAAAAGATTTATTTTTTTTACTCCAATAAGGTGTATTTGAAAAGAAACAGCAGCAAGCAACAACAACAACCCAGTTGACCCATAGTGTTCAATCTATCCGAGCGTGTCACATGTCGAAAAATATATGTTTAGGGACATTATTTATTTTCTTTTTTTTCCATTCCTTACACAATGATCATTTCAAAGATGACTTAAGTCAATTGACAACGACGATGGAACATGGAACCAAAACAACTCTTAACTCTCTTGATGATGATGACAATATATCGTCAATTAAAATGAACAATTTTTTTTGTCATTCAGTTCGGGCACCATTATCAGTTGTCATCATTGCAATCATCAATTGACGGACCAACCGAAACAGGTCATAAAGAAATTGATCAGAAAAAAGAAGAACAACAACAACAACAATAACAAAAGAGAGCAAACTAGTAAGAAACTCTTTTATTATCATTATGCAATGATATAATCTTATATTTACAACAACAACAACAACAACAATATAGTGTTTCGTTTGATTATAATAATTATCATAATATAATTTGAACAACAATAAATGATTTTGGACACAAACACAACATGCATTATTTTCATTGATTCGATTGATTAGTTATTGCAACGATGATCCGGTGATCTATATATATATATAAATATTTTATCACAGATAAGGTTGAAAAATTTTTCTTATTTCTTACACAGTGTTTACAATAAAAATTTTTTTTTCTATAACAAAAGAAAAATATGATTAAGCCAGTTTTCAGATTAAGAAAATTTAAGAAATTTTCAGATATTTTAAGATTTTTCGCACTATACCAGGATATTCGTAGTCAATATGAACGAACATTCATGACGCCCATTCTTTCCATCTTTTTTTTACATAACGATGGTCATTGGACATTCGCATACACAACATGCTTTTGAAAAAAAACAACTTACCTGCCCAACCATGAAGATGGTATATATTGTCCACTGAATGACAACAACAGAAAACAATGGATATCTCCAATTTATATTTTTTTTCAAAATAAGAAAATGAGAATCATCAGTGTATTTCTTTGTTGAAATAAAACATGGTGATGACCTGAGTGAGTTACCGATGACGACGACGACGAAATTTCTCTATACTCTTTTCGCCTTTACCTGCCACTAATTAACGAATAAATAAATATAAAAAAGATAATCAAACACATATAGTAGGAGATATACTGTTGATGGAACAACTACAACAAAAACAGTCTGAGTAATGTCGTCCAATATAATATTGAAGTGATAAGAGAGTTTTTCGGAAAATGTACTTCATTCCTCTTAAAAAAGATGATGATAATTCACATGTCTGCCCATGCATGGACAACATGAAAATAAATATATGAAATATAATCATCATCATCATAATAATAAAATACGAAAGGGCGAGTTTTATTTTGTCGCCAAAGAAGAGTTGTTTGGTCACTATATATGGTACTTACCTATACTTACAATTTATATATGTTGAAGATATATATAGTTTTTAGTTTGAATAAAATCGGACGAAATTATATTCGTTTTTTGGATTGTCTCCTCATGGTATGATACTATCGGGTTGGACATATAATTTTTTCTGGCGTAGAGAACTATATGCAGGAAAATAAATTATTGAACAACAGCGCCTTTGCTGATGAATTTACCAGGAAATTTTAAACTGATTTAGACCTGAATGACCAGGATTTCCAGCTGATATTAATAACAATTTTAATCGAATTTCGATTTGATTTTATTTTTTTTTTCATCTACATTGGTGACATCTATTAGGAATAAAGTAAACTATGAATTTTCTTTCTATTTTTACTCTTTAGGTTTCCGATTTACAACAATAGATGGCGAACCAATATTTAATGAATTTTTTTTGAAAATGGGAATAGACCACGCCTTCTTGAGCCATATTGTATGTGTCTTGATGGTAAACACGTTGTTTTCATTCATTGTCATTTGTTTTTTGTTGCCGGTTATTTTACAAAAATTTGTTTGTGTTTGTTATTCGTTTAATTCGAAGAATTTGTTTTGATTTTTTAGCATCATAACAATTTGTCAATCTATCCGACAATATAATGGCTGCCCCACAAAAACCTAAAAGTGAAATGTCACAAGAAGAGCTTCAAAAGCTTGAAGAAGAAGAATTCAACACTGGTCCATTATCGGTTTTGACACAATCTGTGAAGAATAATACACAAGTATTGATTAATTGTCGTAATAATCGTAAATTACTTGGTCGTGTTAAAGCATTCGATCGTCATTGTAATATGGTACTCGAAAATGTAAAAGAAATGTGGACCGAAGTGCCGAAAAGTGGTAAAGGCAAAAAGAAAGCTAAACCCGTTAGTAAAGATCGATTCATATCGAAAATGTTTCTTCGTGGTGATAGTGTTATTTTGGTATTGAAGAATCCATTGGCCACCGAAACAAAACGTTGATTTGCGTCATCATCATTTTTAAAAAAAACAGTATGATTTTTATTATCAATTTTATTATCAAATATTAAAATCTTTTTTTTTCATTTTGTTTCAGATCAATTCAATATTATTCTATTATTTATCATGTCATATGAACATTTTTTTTGTATATTAAATTCCATTTGGGTGAAACCTGTTTTTTTGATGCGCCAATTTTTTTTTCATTTCCATTCAATCAAACTGAATAAAAGAAACAGAAAGAATAAAAACTTTCATTTTTCAATCAAAACCAGATGATGATAAAAAAGAATAAAAGAAAAAATTCACAGTTGAAATATTCATTTAATTATTATTGGTCGTCGATTTAAAAAGTGAAATCATCATCATCATCATTTACAATAATTAAAATATTTCAAAGTCATTGTCAATGATAAATGTGAAAAGAAAATATCAATCGTTCCTGTGTTTGTGTGTGTGTTAATGATTGGTTTGTTGTTTTTGTCGTTGTTATTGTTGCCGTGATCGCGATTCCCTCGTGATGATTGCGTGATAATGATCCATCTTTTTTTTCAATGTGATTCTTTATAGGTGTACTTGAAGATGGTTTTTATATATGAATTATGAATTCAATACTTGAAAATTTTGAAAAAAAAAGATTTTTCCATGTTTTGTCTTCATGATCATCATCATTATAATGAAATTGATGATTAATCAAACTATCCATCTTAATGATTTTAATGGAAATTATTATTATTATTCAAATTAAACGTCGTATTGGGTTTTAAAATATGTTTTTTTTTGTTTCTAATCCTTGACATTGAAATCTTTTAATACAATCATAATGATGATGATGATGATGATGATCAACATTCGTTCTTTCATTGTAATTTATAATAATAAAAATAATAAGATCCTTGCACTTGACAATTGTCAATTTTGATTCGATTATAATTATCAGTTCGACATTGGAATCTAATCAAACTTTTGTGTTTGCAATATACGTTTTTTTTTGGCTGTTGTTGTTCATCAATTGATATTCAGCTATTGATGGTATCTTTTCAAATCTATAATTATAAATTCCAACAATAAAAACAAAAGAACATGCTCACACGTGATGGTCATGGCAAAAGAAAAAAGATTCGAATTCGATATGATTTTTTTTATGGAATGAATATAATTCAATTAAATATCTATACTATTGTCTTGTTTGAAATCCTGGCTAAATCCATGATGTGTGTTTCCGGTTTTTTCTCTGTTTTTTCTTTGCATATGTGTTATTGTTTGATTTATACATTCTTTTGTTTGGAATTTTTCAAATTGTTTTCTGTTGTTTTTGTTGTTATTATGGCACAGTTTAATTATCATTATCATCTGTTTGTATGCACACATTTGACGGTTTTAACAATTCTTCTTGTCCAACAATAACAACAACAGAGAAATCGGTTTTTCCATTAATCGATTGACAGTTGATGATAATAATGATCGTTTTTACTTTGGATGAACTTTACATCAATAGCAGCCATGTGGAACAAATAATTCCACATACCTGTATATATTAAATGGTATATACAATTATTAATCAATGGAAAAAATGATGATAATGATGTGTTCATATTATCGAAGATGATCATTGATGAGGTCAGGTAAAATATCATGATGGTGATGATGCAACAAAAAAAACAATTTTGAATTATTTTAAATAAATTGGATGAATGAATGAATGAATAAATAAATGAATAATGGATGATAATTTATGTATTTGATTCGTAAACATATTTGGAAATCAACATAAACTTGCATATATGTATAGACAAAGCATGTATGATCATCATATGTTGTTATTTGATTATCGTCAGGAATTTGTCTGGTTGATTGAGTTTGAAAAATGACATCGTTTCATTTTTATTTTAATTTTTGCTGATTCGATCAGTATTTCGTAGTTGTCGTCAGATTTTTATTATTATTATTCATCTAGTTCATCAATTTTTATCATCGTGGATTTTGTTTGCTCAATTGGACACATTTCGTAATCCTTTTCTTGTTATGGGGAAAAAACAACAGCAAAAACGACGACAAAATCAAATAAAATTAACCAAACGAAAGAAAAAAAAATTTGAGACCGAACCGATTTTTTTTTTCATTCAGTGTTCAATCGGGAAAAAAAACGCACAGATTTACATCATTATTATTATTATTATTATTATTATGGTAAAGAATTAGATAAGAATGACATTACTGCCACTACTATAGTATGAAAATCTAAATATAAATTCAATTCGATTGGAACGGTAAAGGATTTTGTATTATGAAATATAAAAAGGGAATTATACTTGTTTGTCATCATGGATCATTTGATCACAGTAAGCGAAAAAGGAAAAAAAAAGAAAAAAAATCATAGAATTGTGTGTGTGTGTGTGTGTAAATGTGTGTGTGTGTGTGTGTGTGTATGTGTGTGTGGAAACATTGGAATATTAATTACAGATTCTTGGCACGACAAATTATTCTATATGTGTGTGTGTGTGTGTGTTGTGTGTTTGTGTTTGGATTTCGTAACCTAATACAAACACAATCCTTCCGCTTGTTTGTATTACTAATTGAATCATCAGCAAAAAAAAAGTATAACGACAATTTGGTTGAAAAAGAAAAAAAATTGCTGCAAACTGATGATGTTGTTGATAATAATAATGATGATGATGATGATGATCGAACAACAAATGAGTAGAGTAATGCTATGAAGAATTTTACACACACACAGAATACACATCAAACGAATGAACCACTTGGATTATATGATGATGATCAATTGAGTATGTAAAGGATTTAATGGCAAAGACCTCAAAATATTTGATGGCTAATGTATGTGTACGTTCATTATGATTTACACACATACAATGATGAAAAACATGGTGGATTTGAAGCTTTCTTTCATTTTTGGTCTGATCTCTTTATACGGTAATACGGTCTATGTTCACCATCGTTGTCGTTGTCGTCGTCATGTCGTGTCAATTAGTTTGCCTTCGTTTTTATTTTTATTCCTATCTATTCGGGTTGGGGTTGACAAAATTGAAAAAAAGATTTTTTTTGTTGTTGTTGCTTATTTTGTACCTTGTTCTTATTATTAGACATTGTCTTTGGTAGCTGTGGTGATTTATGGTGATGGTGATTGTTCTAGCTGCCTACCCGATTTTATTTTTCAGTAATTCCGTCGATCCGAATTCAAACTTTCAAAAAGAAGATTAATTCAATTATGCGATTAAATGATGATGATGATGATGATAATAAAAGTTCAAATATGAAGCCATAATGATAAGCTGACAATCATTACATTTTTTTTGTCTATTCACCAGCAGCAACATCATTTTTTTGGCACGCTTTACGCAACAAAATCCAGTATCAACCGGAAAGTTTGAGTTTTTTTTTGTTTGATAAATCAAAGCTGGAAAAATCCACAAAATATAAGAAGATTTTATATCTCTTTTTTCTTGCTATCACAAACATCCTACATAATAACTAATCATGATTGGAATTCCAAAAAAAAAACAAAACAAACGGATACCAAAAATTAAATAAATGGTTTTGTTTTTTGGGCAAATTTTCTTTGGATGGATATTTCCAATCATCAAAATCAAGTATCAATAATTATAACTTTATGGGGAAAGAATAAAAGAAACATTTTATTACACACATAAAAAGATTCGTTTTGATTCTGTTTCAAAAACCGAATAAAAGTCTTTTTGTGTGTGTGTGTGTATGAATGTCACGCCTAAACATGGAACAAAAAGAAAAAAACCCAAATTGACATTGTTTGAACAGATGTATATATGTACGTGTGTGTGCGCTTGTCACCGGAAAAAACTCGGGACCCTTTCGTTTTTTTTTTTGTTGCTGTTGTTCAATAATAATAATCGACCAACTTGTATATACAAAGTGTGAATAGGAAAACAAAACAGAATAAAAATTCAATTCCATTGAGAGTGTGAGAACAAGAGTGTAGTATTCAATTGTGACAAATGTTTCTGTCATCATCATCATCATCATCATCATCATGGAAAAATATCGATTCAATAGATCACTTTTATTTCATTATCTGGTTGTCTTCCTAAATCATACAGTGTTCTTGATGGCAATCACAAATCACAATATTTAGTTATCTATTCATCAATTGATCAATGAATCATTGAATCGATGATGAATAATGATATCGTTCATGTTATCGTTAATCGATTCAAACTCATCTTTTAATTTGTGTTTTTTTTTCATGTCGATTGACTGGTTGATTGATCTTGGTTGACAAACCTCATTTAGTATATAAAACCAATTTACCAATTCCAAACGAACGTTATTTTGATATTTGAATTTGAGATTATCTCAGACACACACACACACAAGCACACATAGTCCCGACAGAGTTATTATTGAAAATTCATTTCGTTTGGTTCATTCAATAACAAACATTCAACAGAAAAAAAATTGAATACATAACAGCAAGGTCTTATGATTGTATATTATGAATTTTCATCATTGTCAACCAACACATTGAATGAATTGGCAATTTGAATAAAGTAAAGTAAAGAGAAAAGAGAGAGAGAGAAAAAAAAAAAAATACAAATATCAGCGCATTTCAATCGGGTATATTTATTTATCAAATTCTTTTTATTTCTGAGTCTATCTCTTTTTTGTGTGTGTGTGTGTGTGTGTGTACTTATTCTGTTGTAATTAAATTTGGTTGTTACAATTTCACCATCACTGTTTGCATAATAGAATATATTCTGTTTATTTGTGAACAACTTTCAGGCCAATTCATTTGTTGTATTGACAATTATTGAGCGTTAAAAAACATTTGTACCAAACATTGACGCACACATATATGCAGACAATAACAAAACCGAAATCAATTACTGAATATTGAATGTGTCGAGTATATACAACCATTATTTCAAATGACATGTGAGATTATCATTATTTTCGATTCAAATTCTAGTGTATAGACAGACAAATTGTTTCAACTATAGATTGAAAAAAAAAATGAAAATAATGATAAAACAATAATTTTTTTCGGTGAAACAACAAACATATTCTCATTTGGTTGTTTTTTGTTGTTGAAAAAATAAATTTAAAATTCAAATTCATCTTCATTTATATATAAATGTAGTCAAGCAACAAATCAAGTTTTCTTTTTTTTTGTTCTCTGTCGTCTTT